ACGGGGAAGGTGTTGCAGAGCTACTTTACATTATGGGCATGTTTAGTAGTGCTTTTGCCCCAGCTTCAGAAAGCTATTTTTCAGCTTATTCTGTCAAACAAGTCTAGACGAAAACAGTTTCTCTCTAAAAGCTGAATGTACTAGCTTCTCCTAGCTTTTTCTCTGCTATCTTCCATAAAAGTTATTTTACCAATGATTTTAAAAACAGATTTAGTTTTATTGGTAAAGTTGTTTTATGGAACTGAAGAAAAAAAAACCTACTTCACTAGTGAAGTTGAGTTGTACCAAATTGGTCCTATTATTAGGCTTGCTTCGGCTGTGCTGCTTTGCAGAAATGGAAAAGAGAATAGTACACTACTTTGGACTTTGGAGAGGCCTCATGCAACGTACGTTTCGTGTATAGTGGAAGCTAGGGCATGAACTCAGCCTCTATGAAGATATCCCTAATTCCCTATGCTGTTACTCGACTCTTTGTTTGGTTTGGTGGTAGCTTGCATTATTCGTTAGCAGCTAGCCTACGGTCGAAATTGTGTAACAAGTGACCGCATTTTTCAGATGTAGAGGCTGTTCGGCTGGCTTATTGCCTGCTGGCTGGCTGGCTTATTCTCTCACGAAATCACTGTTCACGTCCTGCCAGAATAGTATTTTTCTCTCACAACAATCAGCCGGAATAGTATTTTTCAGTCCTGCCGAACAGGCCCGTAGAGGACAGGATATCATTATATTATTTTATGTCTAGGAAAAATGGAAATATTGACAGATTTTTCTTCTCCCGCTTCTTTAGCTAGTCAGGTCCGCTGGTGCTTTCTTGGGTTCTCTTGGAAATTTGGAAATTGAACAACCTTCCTTGCGTTCGCTGAAATTTGGCTTATGCTGAAATATTGTGAGAGAAAAACATTGTTCGTTCGCTGAAAAATACTGCTGAAGTAGTGCTGCAGAGGGCATGGTTTAGACAATCCCAGCCCAAAAAATTAAGATGGTTTATATGTTCATTAATTAGGATGCCAACTAAATAAAAATAACGTTAAAATTAAGAAAGAAAAGAAGGAAATGTTTTCTTTGGCAAGAAACTATATTTATAGGAGAACGAAAACATGAAGTGATATGATATGTAGACAACAAAAGAGATAAGACATGTGATTTGACAAAATATTATTTCAAAGGAACCATCTATTGAAGATATTATTTCTATGTGTACTGTCGATATGACTTGACAAATATAAAAACTATATCATAATTTCTACATTGGGACTGTCCTTAGACTAATCTCAATAGATAGTAACATACTCATTAATTAGATGTCACGTGTGATTTTTCACCAATGTTGCATAAAATTGATGAAGAGAGAGATAAAAGTTGTTTCATCTTGGAGATACAATTCGGGCATAATATCCGAGGTTAGATAACCATGCACATTCCTTGGATCCATTATCATAGATAGAACATATACAAGATGTGCCCTTAGACTTATTTCTGCTATGAGAGATACTTGCCATTCAAACTAGTGAGTCACTTTTCAAAAGGCTCCTTCCCCTTTTTCTAATCACTATTTACCAATTTCCTATAATGAATAGGGATAACTGAATACGGTATTGGAAATTCAAATGGTCACATATATTGTGTCCCAATAAATTAGACTATAGCGAAATGGAGAATTATAATACTAACAAGATGTGTCACTGTTACATCCCTCCTAGCTGCTAATAACACTTTTATTAACCTATATAACACAAGTCGGAGGTATTATATCCCTTTTTAACAAGCCGATAGAATCATAGAGTAACAAGGGGAAGCCTTATTGATCTTAGACAATTATAACGAGCTGATAGAATCATACTAAAAACCAATCTCGGTCTCTACATAGCTAATGTTAGATAAGTATCGAATATTATGTATGAGTTCGATTATGCTAGGACTCTGAGTTGTGTTTGACGGTATTGGGTAGAGTTGGAGTTAGACTGCATAACCCGATCTCCTCATAGATGTGAGAGTGGGGTTGCTGATGTAACCATACGACATAGCGGCAGGTAGTCATGCCCTGAGGACCAGGGGCGGAGCTAAAGCAAATCCAAGGGTGGTGCGCTTAACTTGTGGGTGCAAGGCTTTGTGACATGTGGGTGCAAAATATGGTGAAAATTTAGCTCTTACTACTGTTTTTTTATTTTTCTCTGGTGCGGACGCACCCAGTCATTTGACTATAGATCCGCCCATGCTAAGGACTCAGGCTTCGGGTGACATGGTTAACAAATATTGTGCCTCTAGTGTTGTTTGTGACCTTGCATATTTGTCTCAGTAGATCTAATCAACGCTTCCGCGCATGGAGATTAGCAAGCAGCTTGTCGCCTTGAGAGCTAATTTCTAAGAGCTAAGATGATGCGCATAGCCTATAAAAACAAAGGAGAAGAAGAAAAAGCATGGCAACATTGCAATATATATCATGTTGCAGCAAAGTACAACAAACAACTTAGCCTTCAGTCCCTGTACCATAGTAACATTTGAATCTCGAGAAAGATTCCCAAACAACGCCGTCAAGAAGGGCACGACACGCACACATGCCGTTGTTACAATGACCCAACTGGTGAAGGCTAGATCATAGGTTTTTATCTTAAAGAGAAAATTCTTCAAACTCCAAAACAATGCCTTCAATAAGGTCGTTGGTATATAACAGATAAGATCAAACCATACTATATCCCCATTTTATAATAGTGATTTCAGTCATTATAATTTAAATTCAACTATATTTATATGTGGAGATACCATACATAGAAAAAAAACTATAGATATAGATGAAAAACATATAGAGTGAATTAATGAGTTTGTCACAGTTTGGTAGAGATTACGAAATATTATATATATATATATATATATATATATAGTGTTAGAAAATGAATAAATGAGGTGAAGAGATAAATGATTTGATTAGTTGTAAGGATCCAACGTGTCTTGGAATCAGACTCTATACCATCGTTGTACGCGAGTTGTTCTAACTTATATTGTATATGTATCATGAACCCAGATCATATACGGAATACAGAGGGTGCGAGGATAGTTTAGGAAGTAAAAAAGTGGAAAAAAATAACAGTTTATAGAAAGTAAAAAGCGGGTTGAAAAACGTTTTGCTATTTAATAATATTATAATATTAGTAACAGTAAGACTAGTACCGGTCGATCGATGCCGCGTCACTTTCCCGGCAGCAACCTAAAAGCGAGATCAGATCATCAGATACATGTCCTGTCGCCTGTCATCAACCAGAAACTCTCTTTCTTGTGCCGTTCTGCGTGCGTGTGTTCCCGCTTGTACAATGAGAGGAGATTAGTGTAGTTTTACTTAAAGTTGTTTCCTTGATGTCCAAGACAAAGAAGCCATGCGCGAGGGAGGGAATCCAGACAGGAACAAGAGCTTGCAAAAGGACATGCCCCGAAACCACACACTAGCTAACACATGGCGCTTTGCTTGCTAAACCCTGCAATGGAAATTAAGGGTGCGAGGAACTACACTGACATAACAGTAGTACCAGTGTATGCAAACTCTGGTGTGTGTGTTTTGTAGCTTCAGATTGCAGTAACTTCGTGACTCTCAGCTGTTTGCAGTGACATTCTAACTGCAGCCTGCTTTGCAGCTCTGTACATACCTGCTTCGGATTGTGAGATGAAGTAATCGCCTTGTACATCTGTGTACGCAGTTGTGCCTGGATTGCATTGCATGCGTCCGGATCCATTCATACCACGTTAGCTGGCCGTGTTGCACACCTTGCAAGGATGATGGGTGAAGTGAAGGTGGCAAGGTGCTGTGCTGTGAAGTGTGAACTGCAGATGCAGCCTGACGTTTCAGCTAAGCTCTTGGTAGAGAGTAGAAGCCGCCACCGTGTCTTTTATTGGTCAAAGGCAGCCTACGCCGACCTTAGGTTGGCCCATCCAACGTAACCGGTGCATCGACAGGATGTCTGGGTTGTTCAGACATGGAATTCAGCACTCCGGCCTCTTGCACCAAGACTAGATTTGGAGCTAGATTGGACAGGCGGTACTTCTCAGGTCAGGACTCAGGAGGAGCCTTGAAAACAATCATGGTTGAGGAATGAGGATGATCTTAATCTTTCACCGTGTCCGGTTAGTTGCATGCCTGTTCAGATAATGTCTGGAGAAGTTGAGATGATATGGCCCGGCCCCTGTGAGTTGCGGTGTTCTAATCTCTCTACTTCGTCCGTCGATCAGTCATAGGAAACAAACTGTTGAAATTAACCGCTGCGAGCACCAATCCTAGGGCTAGGTTCCTAGCCAAATGTTAGCCAGGTAGCGTTCGATCTGACGCGACAAGGAAATCTCAACAAATGACGCGAAGGTTTGCGGTCGATCCTTGAGAAGAACACACAAGATCATATCGGACCCCGATCATATCATAATACACTAACACAGTGCGAGTTTCAGTCTGTAATACGCTCGAGATAAATGGTTTTGCATCATATCAGTCAGTCTCAGTCATCATGACTCATCACTCCTTTATCCTGACGACGTGCACTCAGATCGAACGGTTCAAAAAATTCAGCAGTAATGACACGCACTGACGCTGGAGAAAATACATGTATGTCCAGAGCAGCGCCATACGTCAAAAAGGGCGATTCCTTTGCCTGCACTCTAAAAGCCAGGCCGACCCAACTCTTTGTACATGACCAGCAAAAGCGGCTAGCTGCTAGCATCACCTTTCGATCTCCCTCGATCATCATCCTCACCTAATTCTCCTCCCATTTTTCTTGTCCATGGGAATTGGGAAAAAGGAAAATATCATGTCGTCACCTAATAAATTGCATACTGCAACCACCGTCAGTACTGTCCTCGCTATATATAACCCTTCCTTTCTCCCACATTGTATCAGCTTCAGCTCTGGCTGGCCGTGCTATAGCTAGCTAGCTGCAGCCATATATAGCTACCGTCGTCTCGATCGATCGCCTCACCATTTGATACACACATATATCCGATCTCCGGCACTGAAACTGCGAATAGATATGGGGGCGCCATCATGTCTTGCGTTCCTCCTGTTGTGTGGCACGTTGCTAGCATTGCCGCAGTCGTCGCACGGCACAACCAGATACTACACCTTCAATGTAAGCGCATTTCATCAAGAATATATATGCATATGCATGGCGCCGTTGGTTCATATTGTGTTATGTACTTTGCTAGGACTACCATGCAATGGTTTAGCTTGGGTGCCTATATATTTCTTTTCTTAATGAAAAAACACCTAGTTTCTCCTGTGCTGGATCTTGTTTTTTTATGCAATAATGCTTCAGCTAGCTCTTGATGGTCTGTTCTTCCATCTATGAACGAGGTTTTGGAGAAACGGCGTGAATTGACGTGTCTATTATCTGCTGTTTCGATCATGTGTGGCAGGTGACGATGCAGAATGTGACGCGGCTGTGCACCACCCGCGCCATCCCGACGGTGAACGGCAAGTTCCCCGGCCCCAAGATAGTCACCAGGGAGGGCGACCGCGTCGTCGTCAAGGTGGTGAACAATGTCAAGGACAACGTTACCATCCACTGGTAAATTTCCTTCATATATACCCCGTTACGTTCCTCAGCTCGCTCCTAGATTTTTCATTTGTATATATATATAGCGATCGGCGCACCTCGTATATACGTACTTGGAAACTCTTTGCACCAACGAACTGCAATAACCTAGATCATGTCGCAAGCTGCCATGTTTCAATAGAGAGATCATCGATTCGTACCTCTGTCTCGATCCTGGTTGGTGTCTGCAACTAATAACAAGCATCTATCATCTTTTTTGTTTCCTGGATGCGATCAGCAGCTAGGTCGATCGCCATCCTTTTAGCTAGCTACTCCCTCCGGGCAGCTTTGTAAGGCAAAGGCATGCACGTTTCAGGACGTGCCAATGCATGCATGTGCAGTTGTGCACTGATCAGCTGATCTGCATGATTCTGATACTGATCTTCATTTTGTTTGCATTCTCTGGGTGCACGATGCAAACTGCATCCATGTATGTATGCGCGCGAACGAACAACAGGCACGGCGTTCGGCAGCTGCGGACGGGGTGGTCGGACGGGCCGGCGTACGTGACGCAGTGCCCCATCCAGACGGGGCAGAGCTTCGTGTACAACTTCACCATCACGGGGCAGCGGGGCACCCTGTTGTGGCACGCGCACGTCTCCTGGATGCGCGCCACGCTCTACGGGCCCATCGTCATCCTCCCCAAGCGCGGCGTGCCCTACCCGTTCCCGGTTAAACCCTACAAGGAGATCCCCATCATCTTCGGTGCGTGATGAGCTCGTGCTGACTGCACTGCTCTGGGTGTACATATATACATGCTGTGTAGCCTGTAGGAGCACAGTGGTTGATACTGCTCTGGGTGCCGCAGGAGAGTGGTTCAACGCGGATCCCGAGGCAATTATCGCCCAGGCGCTTCAGACTGGAGCAGGCCCAAATGTGTCGGACGCCTTCACCATCAACGGGCTTCCGGGCCCCTTGTACAACTGCTCCAGCAAAGGTAAGACTCGGCCCATTCAGTCTTGGTTTTTGGAAGCTCAACTTACGGCCCATGTGTTGCTTCCCTAGACACGTTCAAGCTGAAGGTGCTGCCCGGCAAGTGGTACCTGCTCCGGCTCATCAACGCCGCGCTCAACGACGAGCTCTTCTTCTCCATCGCCAACCACACGCTGACCGTGGTCGACGTGGACGCCGCCTACGTGAAGCCGTTCCACACGGACATCGTCCTCATCACGCCGGGCCAGACCACCAACGTGCTCCTGCGGCCGAGCCCGACGCGGGGTGCCCCGCGGCCACGCACCTCATGCTGGCGCGCCCCTACGGCACGGGCCAGCCGGGCACCTTCGACAACACCACCGTCGCCGCCGTGCTCGAGTACGCGCCTGCGGCGGCGGCGGCGGGGCACATCAAGAGCCTCCCGCTCTTCCGGCCCTCGCTGCCCGCGCTCAACGACACGGCCTTCGCGGCCAACTACACCGCCAGGCTGCGGAGCCTGGCCACCCCGGAGTACCCGGCCAGCGTGCCCCGCGGCGTGGACCGCTCCTTCTTCTTCGCCGTGGGGCTCGGCACCAACCCTTGCCCGGCGAACCAGACGTGCCAGGGGCCCACCAACCGGACCATGTTCACGGCGTCCATGAACAACGTGTCCTTCACCATGCCCACCACCGCGCTCCTGCAGGCGCACTACGACAACATCGCCGGCGTGTACACGGCCGACTTTCCCGTGGCGCCGCTGGAGCCGTTCAACTACACGGGCACGACGCCCAACAACACCAACGTCTCCAGCGGCACCAAGGTGGTGGCGTTGGAGTACAATACCAGCGTGGAGGTGGTGCTGCAGGGCACCAGCATCCTGGGCGCCGAGAGCCACCCGCTGCACCTCCACGGCTTCGACTTCTTCGTGGTCGGCCAAGGCTTCGGCAACTACGACTCGTCAAAGGACCCAGCCAACTTCAACCTAGTCGACCCGGTGCAGAGGAACACCGTCGGCGTGCCACCAGGTGGCTGGGTCGCCATCAGGTTCTTCGCGGATAATCCCGGTGCGTATAGCGACTAGCGATTAGTAAGTAAAATTGCACTCGATTCGTGCGTTGTTTCTTGAAAAATGTTGTTGCAGGTGTTTGGTTCATGCATTGCCACCTGGAGGTGCACACAACCTGGGGATTGAAGATGGCATGGGTGGTCAACGACGGCCCGTTGCCTGAGCAGAAGCTGATGCCACCGCCGTCCGATCTACCAAAGTGTTGAAGATCGATCACGCGTTGACATTGACCAAGATTGTGATTCGTTTCTTTCGTATGATTCGCATACACGCACTTATGACTTATCAGTGAAGATACATTGTCGTCGTACATAGCGTACACAACGGTTAAAGAGGCTTGTGATTTTTCGATACATTCTTTTCTTCTCCATTCTTCTAAAGGTTTAAAAGGTTGTGTTTTGTGACAGGAAGTCATTGTTTTACTTTCACATAGATTCTTCATGTGAGTAGTTTGAAATCCTTTGTTGCAATTCGAACTCAATTATAATGATGGTTTGGAAACGAATACAAGTTGATGAAGTGAGATATTCTATGTTTATAAAGGAGTAAGGTGGCTTAGTAACTATGCACCTTGAAATTCAAAATCATTGTTTGCTAAGCAAATGGCAATTCGAGCTAATCAACGAAGATGTGATTTAGGCGTGTGGCAAGAAAACTTCTTAGGAAGATGTAGGTGCATTGAAAGAAAAAATTCTACGAGAAGCACACTGAAAACCAAAAGATTCACATTTCTAGCAAGGCCAAGCCTTATGAAGGATAAAGACCGTTTCTTAGATTTATCCATTTTTGTAGTGTCCATAGTGGTGCTCGGCTTAGGTTCTCGAAGGACAAGTGATTTGAAAACTTGACCCTCATATAACAATACACATCTCTATTTTACATTGCTAGGGGAAAAACATATAGGTGTTGCTCAGGTATTCAACACTACACTTAATTTGTCTTTCCACATGGCACTAGTCGTTGACAAGTTAGCCAAGTGGAAAGAGTTGGTTGCGGAAGTAGCATTCATGCAATTAGATGACTAATAAGACTCAAATTAGGTGGAACCTCAATAAAAATTAAGATCTCCATTTGGTTCTTTATGAAGAGAATCTTGTTAAGTGAAATTAGAGAGGTACGAAAGTTGGTATTTTCGTAACAAAAATGAAACAATTCAACGGTTTTCTCGGTACTCAGTTACAAATTACAATCATTGTACCTCAATTTGCATTCCTAAATTTATATGGCAGTATGTGCAAGTGCAATCATATGGTCTATTTAGTTAAGTTGCAACGATATGGTTTTTTATCAAAAAAAAAAAAACTTAAACCTTATTTACAAGTTTTCTAGGGCCAACTTATAGGCATGCTTATAGTTCATCCTCTAGAAGAACGATAGACTAGACATGCCATATGATGAAGATCTCAACTATGGAGACTTTTTTTGCGAATTACAAGTACAGACGCAGACGCTCAACACGCACGCACACTCACCCCTATAAATACACGTACACAAACCCTACCCCTATCTTGAAGTCACCACAGGCGCCTCGTTGTCGACGAGAACGTCGCCTACCACTGAAAGCACAACGCCGTTAAATCCTGAAATAAATCCTGAAAAATGCGAACACTCCTGCCAAGTCGAGGACTTGAACCCGGTTGGAAAGGTTCCACCACAAGGAACCTAACCAACTGAGCTAGGCTCAGTTCGCCAACTATGGAGACTTTTTACTAAGGGTGGATGATTATCTTCTAATTATAGCCTATTGATTTTCTAATATGTGTTTGGAGAGCATGCATTGACCAGCCAAAGTTTATTAGAACCGTAAGAGTAGGTGCTTTAGTGTGTAACTCATGGAGAGGCGAGCATAAAAATATATATTATGACTTAAAAGAATATATGATACTTTGAAACTAATGACAATGTAGAAATTGGCCCATTTGTCCTAAGAGAAGTGGTTGCCATGATCGAGGGAACAGTCTTGGACTATAGTGCATTCGTTTCTCCGCTTAGTTTTCTTTTTAGCAGAGTTTCTCCGCTTTGTTAAAACCCCTGAAACCACAGAGCTTGTTATCAAGGCCCACGACCAATGCCTTGGATGCAATGGGCCTGAATTAAGGTTTCTTTAAAAGGTTCAGGTATTTATGCGAGAGTGTGTGATACAACATGAGTGGGCCATTACCAGCTACAATTATAGTGACGCATAGTCTCGAGAATGAAAGGTCAAAAAAAAAAGTCTCGAGAATGAAAAACATGGTGTGCGTTGCAACGGAATGTTCTTAAAAATAAAGTTGTTGCGTATATAAACTGGACCTATATGTTATTGCATCGGCTCTGGTTAATGAGCAAACTAGTGGAAGAATCCAATAAAAATATAATAGAATATTAGATCGAATTACAAGATAGAATGGCAAAACAAATTATATCATGGTATGGAGGCCTTGTATTTTGATAGATTAAAAACAGTGATTACATCTAGTGGAAGATGATGTGGATAGACTTTTGTACTTAGTGGAAGATGATGTGGATAGTTTTAGTATATGGATGGTGTTGATAGCTTGCATGAAGAGATTGAAAATTAGCAGAAGAGGGATGTGATGGGGTTAGTTTGTGTGTCACTATGTTGAGATTGAAACATGTGTAATGGAATTTTGATTTATAAGATATGTAGGAATAGATATAGATTACACTTTGTAGCTTGTGGACACGTTTATTCCTTTCTCGGGTAAAAGTCCAGTAGGGTATAAACACGGTCTATAATTGTCGATTTGATTAATAACAATATGAGTAAAAACCTACTGTTTTAAATAACATATTTATATGTTAATTATCAAAAGTTTTTTCAGGATGAATATTTGTACTACCAAATGTATGATCACTCTATATAACATTTTAGATATTTTTTGTATTTTCACTCGATAGATGTCTTTTCAAGTAAAACATCCATAACCCATCAAGCACCGTTCGGTCACACACACGCACACAAAATAGGTCACCATTATTCGGGGTGTCCATCTGTTTTTCCGCTTTTTAAAACACCAAAAGCCATTCGAGAAAAAAAAAGAGGGAAAAGTTTTCTTTGACCTCCTTAACTATTTTGATCATCGATGCTCTCCCCCACCTCACCACCACCACCACCACTGCAAAACCACTATTTTTTCTACCTCCCTCAACTTTGAAAATTGTTTGTTTTTGCACCTTGGATGACTTTGACGGTGTTTTTGCTGACATGATGCCACATCAGCTTAAACGAGGTAAATCAGAGTACGTTGATAGTTCGAGGGGTAAGTCGGACTATAATTTTCTTCAAAACATTACTCAAATGTTTTTTGAAAAAAAATGCAATTAAAAATCAGACTATAAAATTTCCCACAGCTAGTTTTTAGAGTTTCAAATTTCAACATGACACTGGCGGAAATCGCATTCCAAGTTACTGAATGCGTTACAGTCCAGCAGTAAGCAGAAGAACTGTCGCAAAATGCATTTGAACGGGAGACCTCTGAAGAATATTGTGCTAGTTAGTATCTGAAAAATATTTATCTTCAAGAACAGTGGGTGCCGATGGTTTCTGTGGGTGACACCAAGAATCGATTTACTTTCCAAAGCAAACAGTAGATCGAAGTCGAACGCTGTTCCAACTCTGCCAAGATATTGCAATTGCGTTACGCCGATCAGATGGCACTTGTACTTGAGGGCGGTAACATAGGCTTGGTCTAATCAACTGCTGCGAGAATCTCTCCATGTAGATGAAGCAGACGCTACCCAATTTAGTCCTGGACCAAGGACAGAGATATATATATGACTAATTCAGGCACTGTTCGTCTGCTACTGTACCTCGCGACTGGCAACTTAATCCCAACCCGTGCAAGCACGCGCGCATTTTGTTCCCTCTCCGCAAGCAGGAAGCTAGCCTAGCAGGGTGCGCTCGGCAAGCTAGCCCATCGATCGGGACCAACCACGAGTCCGTCCATGTCATCGCCCTATCGCCCCCACGTGCCACCTCGTGGCCTCCTTGTGCACGGGAGCTGATCGACATCCGCGTATGCCTGCAAAGGCACGACCCGACCCGCGTGCCAACCCCTGTTACCGCGAGTGAACAGCTAGCGGTCACACTACACTATCGAGCTCCCTGTTGAACGCGGCATCGTCGCGCCTGGGCCAGCGATGATGAGCTACCGGGGTTCCCATCCCACAATTTTAAGTGGGCTAGGTAGGTTTTCAGCTGCCGGTTCCGATCCATGAACAGCCGCGCTTGGTAGCACAGTGGCATGGTTTATTCAAGATCCTGTGGCCGGTCATCCGCTTCGATGCGAGAAGTGGAACTGCAGACACAAGACAGTGCAGTCCTGTCTCGCACGGTTGCGTTTTCTCTTTTCCGTTAAAGTGCAAGTACTCCATCCGTACCCGAATAAATTAATTTCTAGAATATGTATCAGTTAAACCTTTTTAAATTTGACTAACTTTATAGAAAAGAGTAATAACATCTATGACATAAAATGAGCATCTATTATAAAAATATATTCTACGATAAATCTATACTAATTTGATACTATATATCTTAATATTTTTTTTATAGAAATTCGGTCAAAGTTTTAAAAGTTTGACTTGAGACAACTTTAGGTATCTGTGTATTTATGGAGAGAGGGAGTATTGTAGATGAAAGTGAAAGACTTCTAGCTTGCAGAGAATCGCAAGAACAGTCCAGTGCAAGCTTCCATGCCGGCCCATACGAGGGCGGCATATCTGTCCTCGAAGAGCATGAGCGGATAACGGCGGCCGTCCCAATTCCCAACCGAACCTAGCTCTACGACTACGACTACGAGAGCCGAATGCGGCGGCGTAGCACGGGCTGACGGTATGGCCGCGCCGGGCAACACCATAAAAACAGCGTAGGCTCGCCATGCCGCCGTGGGCTCGTGGCGGCACACGCGACCCATGCATGCTTCCCCGTTCCCCGCGACGCGAGCCGATCCCTCGTATTTGGGACCACCCGAATGAACAGGAGCCGAGGATAAGGCCGGCCCCATGCCGATGCCGAGCCCACCTGCGGAGCCGTTCCTTCTCTGTGCACCACCATTTCGGCCCAATCGTCTAACGGTCGCACGCACCGAGGGCCTGAACCGTCGAAGTGCCCGCGTTTTCCTTTCTCGGACGCCTCACGCCGCTGTTCGGTCCAGCATCGGCTCCTGGCTCTGGCGCCTGCGTTGCCGCGGCGGCAGCGCGGGAG